CACTCTTTCATAGCACCCTGTATCTTTTCTTCCTATCACTTCTCATGGTTTGTAATTTTAATTGTCTGCATGATTATTTGACTATTGTCTATCTCTTTGCTAAACCTGAAGTTGCATGAGAGTAAGGACCATGTGCTCACCACATATTCTCAGTGCTTAGTGTTGTGCCTGGCACATAGTAGGTGCTCAGTCCATGTTTGTCGAATGAGAGGCTGTCCCTCGTCTGTGGGGTAAAGTAAAAATTACTGCAGGATCTGATTCCAACCTACCTTCTCTCAATCCTCTGCCCTTGGAGGAAGTCAGGCTGCTGGACTTTCCACCCTTCCCTGAGAAAGCCATGGGCTTTCCAATGTTTAATTCTAGTTTACACCGCGCCTTGATTTTATCTTTTTGTTTGTGCTCCAATTGCCCACCTGCCTGGAGGCCATGTCCTCCCCTCAACCCCCGCCACCCCAGCACTGTTGCCTTATGGAAATCCAATTCATCCTTCAAGCCTATGGATGTCTCCACCAACCGAACTGTGAGTTCCTTGAGAGCAGGAGCAGTGTCTCTCTAATTTCTCCCTAGGGTGCAGCACAGTTCCTGGGCTGTAGGAGGCGCTCCTGGTTAACGTCTCCATCTGTTCCAGGCTGCAAGCTCCTTGAGGGTAGGCAGTGTTCTTACCTGTGTGCATCAGGCCTCCTAGTCCCCAGGTCCTATCCCAGGTCAAGACTTGGAGTTGGCTTCAGGAATCTTCTGGTAATCTAATGAATGTATGTGTCTGGCTGTGCCGTTAGGGGTCTGAACATGAAATGGCGGGGCAGGGACGGGGACTTGCCTGCCTTGCCCCCACTGTGCTCTGTGCAGTGTCCTGGCTTCTTCTCCCCCCAGCAGGGCCCTGGCTCTCCCTGCAGGATGCCCTCTGCCTCATCTGCCTCCAAGCTCTCTGGAGAGGAGGCTGTTGAGTTGGCCACACTTCTGGCCGCCACCACCCCAAGGCAGGGTTGCCATGCCAAAGTTCCTGCTCTCCCTCCTCATTCAGAAGCACCTTCTGTAGTTGTGACGATTAATTTTAGGTGTCAATTTAATTGGGCTAAGGATGCCCCATAGCTGCTAAAACATTATTTCTGGGTGTGTCTGGGTGTTTCCAGAAGAGATTAGCATTTGAGTCAGCGGACTGAGGACAGAAGATCGCCCTCACCAATGTGGTGGGCATCATCCCATCTGTTGAGGGCCCAAAGAGAACAAAGGGGCAGAGGAAGGGTGAATTTGTTTCTGTCTGAACTGGGACATCCATTTTCTCTTGCCCTTGCACATCAGCGCTCCTGGTCCTCGGGCCTTCGGACTCGGACCAAGGCTTGCACTATCACTACTCTTACCTTCTCAGGCCTTTGGACACTGGCTTTCCTGGTCCTCCAGCTTGGTAAACAGTGGGACTTCTTGTCTTCCATAATCTCGTGAGGCAAGTCTCCTCTCTCTCTCTCTCCCTCTCTCTCTCTCTCTCTCCCTCTCTCTCTCTCTCTCTCTCTCTCTCTATGTGATATATATTATATGTGTATATCTTCTATTGGTTCTGTTTCTCTGGAGAGCTCTGATTAATACATAGTAGGTGCCCATACCATTCTC